AGGGACAGCAGGACGGCCGAGGGACAGCAGGACGGCTCAGGGACAGCAGGACGGCTGAGGCTCTGCTCCGGGACCCGGGCCGAGAGGACAGCTACCCAGAAGGCGGCTGGTCTCCGCGCAGAAGGAAAGGACATGTGGACGAGGCCTCTGCACTTTTATTTCAAGTGACACATGTCTCTCCTGTTCACATTTCACTGGTCAAAGTGAGTCACTGGCCCCAGCTGCCATTATGGATGAAACTCCCAGGGGAGTCTGGGGACTCATGAATATGTGTGAGCACCCAGAGACCACACTGCAGGACGCTTTGCCATGGGGGGCGGCGAAGAAACAGGGCAGGACCTGGAGGGCCATGGGTCAAGCGAGGTTGGTTTTTTCTTTTTTGAGACAGAGTCTCAAAAACTCTGTTGCCCAGGCTGGAGTGCAGAGGTAAAATCTTGGCTCACTACAACCTCCACCACTTAGGTATTCTTCTGCCTCAGCCTCCCGAGTTGCTGGGACCACAGGCGCCCACCACCATGCCTGGCTAATTTTTGTATTTTTACTAGAGACAGGGTTTCACCATGTTGGCCAGGCTGGTCTCGAACTCCCGACCTCAGGTGATCTGGCCTCAGTTTCTCTATCCTCCTGAGTCATGCTGTCAGCACACAAACAGGCTCTAGTTTCTTCCATCTTGGTAGCTCACGCCTGTAATCCCAGCACTTTGAGAGGCTGAGTCTGAGGAGAAAGAGGACAGGATGGCACAGGCCTTCCCTGTCATGGGTAATACCCTAGTCACATGGGAGACAGGTGGAGGGCGCCTCTTGGCGGCGGGGATGGGGGAGGTGGAGCATTTCAAGTGAAACCAGTCAGCCCACCGCTGTGGCTTGCTCCGGTGATATTAGTGGCTTGGTACAGCAGGAGGCGGAGAAGCGTTCACCCAGGGCTGGGTTTTCCAGTGAGTACTGCAGTCAAGGAAGGGTGAGGAAGTTGAAGGTGTTTGCCAACAGGAGTTTCTAACGCCCACTGACCCAGCCTCTGCCCAGGTTCTCACCTCTGCTGGGCTGCTGGGGCTGTGTGATGCCCTCCAGTGAAGCCTGACCACAAACACCTGGTTCCTGGTCTTTACAAGCAGACCAGCTTTTCCCATGCCCACTGGACAGGATGCCATGGCCACTGGTGGCTCTTTGTGGCCACTCAGCCACCAAACTCTCTTCCTCTGTTTGAGAGTTCTCCATTTATGTAAATGAGCTATTCCCTCCCAGTCGGAGCTGCCAGGAACACGAACTCGCTTCCCCAGCCTCGAAGGACCCCAGCCGGGCTCTGCCCCTCAGCACACCTACCCCAGACTCAACTAGCAAATAACCGGGAACAGGCAGGATCCATGGCGGTGGCAGAGCCAGCGGGGGCTGGCGACTGGGCGGGAACATTGGAGGTGCAGGTGGAGGTGTCTTTGCCCTTGCTGGGGGCACGGCTCCTGCCTGTGGAGCCTGCAACCCTCCGGGAGGTGGTGAGTTACCTGACAGCCTTGACATAAGTCTGGGTTTTCACTTACATGGGGCAAGGCTGGTGTCTGCTGCTGGCAAATAAGAATCTTCCCTGATGCTGGGTCCCTGTAGCTCACCTTGGGTTCTGGGCTGAGACAGATGTGCCCATCTGTGCACCCCAGTCTCTGCTCTGAGGCTTCCCGCTCCCCTCTCCCTGCCTTCCTGGAGCAGCAGCTGCCCAGGAAGGTGAGTCAGAAGGCAGCACTAAATGCAGCGGCCGGGGTCAGCCAGTGAGGCTCTGCCCCAGGAGCTTGACTCTGAAGCAAGCGACGGGTCGAGAGCCCTTTCATCCTGGTGATGCCATCCTGGGGACACTGTCCACTAGATCTTTATACCAAGACCCCGGCGCCACCCTGGAGTCCTGCACTCCCAGAGCTGCGTTGCTCACCTTCTCCTTTGGGTCTTCGGGCCACCCTCCCCCATCTTCATTCTGCACAGGTCTGCCCAGCCTGCCTCTTCTTGGCTATTAAGATCCAAACTTCCTTCAGAGGCAACCACGTGCTCCTCTAGAGGAGCCAGGCTCTCCTCCTGCTGGGGTGAATCTCTGTCTACTGTGTACCCCACTGTCTGGGGTTGATTTAAACGGGAGCATGTGACTCAATTCTGACCTATGAGACGAAAAGGAACGTTTGCTGAAGGACTTCTGGAAACATTTGTCTTCCTCCTTAAAAGGGACACAGGGGCCAGGTGCAATGGGTCACACCCACAATCCTAGCCCTTTGGGAGGCTGAGGTGGCAGGATCACTTGAAGCCAGGAGTTCCCGGCTACAGTGAGCTGTGATTGTGCCACTGCACTCCAGCCTGTGTGACAGAGTGAGACCTCATCTCTAAAAATAAAGATTAAGGCCTCAACCTCATGGGCTCAAGTGATCGTCCTTCCTCGGCCTCCTGAGTAGCTGGGGCTACATACCTGTGCACGCCGCTGTGCCCAGCTAATTTTGTATTTTTTGGAGAGATGGGGTCTAACTATGTTGTCGAGGTTGGTATCAAAGCCTGGGCTCAGGCAGTCGTCCCACCTTAGCCTCCCAAAGTGCCTGATTACAGGCATGAGCCTCGCCTAAATGTTTTTAATTTTTATTTTTTAATCTTTATTTATTTTTATTTTTTTTCAGACCGGGTCTCACTCTATCACCCAGACTGGAGTGTAGTGGCACAATCTCAGCTCACTACAGCCGCCACCTCCCAGGTTCAAGTGATTCTCCTGCCTCAGCCTCCCAAGTAGCTGGAACTACAGGTGCATGCCACCACGCCCCGCTAATTTGCCCCACTAATTTTTTTTTTTTTTTTTGAGATGGATTTCGCTCTTGTTACCCAGGCTGGAGTGCAATGGCGCAATCTCGGCTCACCGCAACCTCCGCCTCCTGGGTTCAGGCAATTCTCCTGCCTCAGCCTCCTGAGGAGCTGGGATTACAGGCACGCGCCACCATGCCCAGCTAATTTTTTGTATTTTTAGTAGAGACGGGGTTCCACCATGCTGACCAGGATGGTCTTGATCTCTTGACCTCGTGATCCACCCGCCTCGGCCTCCCAAAGTGCTGGGATTACAGGCGTGAGCCGCTGCACCTGGCAATTAAGAAGTTTTAAAAGGATTGGGGACACAAGGAAGAGATGTTCTACTTCCTGCTTCTGGGTGTGGTTGGACAAGCATGAAATGCACGGCCCTGAACCCCCATCTTTCAAGCATGAGGGGGCCAGCCCAAAGGCTAATGCCAACTTGCCAGGACTACAGAGTGAAATGAGGAGAACCTGCGTACACCATGATCTCGCTAAGCCAATGAGTAAACCAATCCCGGAATCTCCAAGCTTCCTGTTGTAGAACATAAGTTCACTTTCTGTTTAAATCAAATCATTTTGGATTGGATTTTCTTTTTTTTTTTTTTTTTTTTTTTTTTTTTTTTTTTTTTTTGAGACAGAGTCTCACTCTGTCACCAGGCTGGAGTGCAGTGGCACATTCTTGGTTCACTGCAACCTCCAACTCCCTAGTTCAAGTGATTCCCCTTCCTCAGCCTCCCGAGGAGCTGGGACTACAGGCATGTGCCACCACGCCCAGCTAATTTTTGTATTTTTAGTAGAGATGGGGTTTCACCATGTTGGCCAGGATGGTCTCGATCTTCTGACCTCGTGATCCACCCACCTCGGCCTCGCAAAGTGCTGGGATTATAGGCGTGAGCCACCACACCCAGCCTGGATTTTCAATTACTGTGTCCAAAAGCTTCCCAACACACCTTCCAGTGAATTCCTTTTTTGCTTAGTCAGTTAGACAAGAGCTCTCTTGCTAAAACAAAACAAAAAAAGTCTAACTTATGTACTGGGTAACTCCATGACTCGGCTCCGATGGGACCTGCTCCAGGAGCGCAGTGGTGTGATCTCAGCTCACCTCAATCTCTGCCTCCTGGGTTCAAGTAATTCTCCTGCCTCAGCCTCCCAAGTAGCTGGAATTACAGGCTCTTGCCACCACGCCAGGCTAATTTTTGTATTTTTAGTAGAGATGGGGTTTCATCATGTTGACCAGGCTGGTCTCGAACTCCTGACCTCAGGTGATCAATCCCAAAGTGCTGGGATTACAGGCATGAGCCACCACGCCTGGTCCACTCACACTCTCTTCTCTCTTTACCCCCAGAGGCGCAGCACTGCTGGGTGTCCAGCTGGTTCCTAGTACATAGAGGTCATCCTGCTGTCTGTCAAGTAAATGAATCTCGATGAATGATTTAGCTGATGTCATTCATTCCAGCCAAAAGCAAACCCCTCAGGTGCTTTGGTTAGCCCAAGTGGCCTTATTGTGGGAAAATGGGGATATATAATAAGATGCAGGGCCAGGCGCGGTGGCTCACGCCTGTAATCCCAGCACTTTGGGAGGCCGAGGCAGGGCGGATCACAATGTCAGGAGATGGAGACCATACTGGCCAACATGGTGAAACCCCATCTCTACTAAAAATACAAAAAAATTAGCCGGGCGTGGTGGTGCACGCCTGTAGTCGCGGCCACTTGGGAGGCTGAGGCAGGAGAATCACTTGAACCCAGGAGGCAGAGGTTGCAGTGAGCTGAGATCGCACCACTGCACTCCAGCCTGGGTGACAGTGCGAAACTCTGTCTCAAAAACAAACAAACAAACAAAAACAACAACAAAAACCATAAGATGCAGCAGCCAGAGGACCCCAGGGCAGGCTCCTTGTGCTTCCAGGATAAGTGACTGCCAGGTATTCAGGCCTCACCCCACAGATAATTCCCCTCGGACCCTTCACAGAACCTGTCCTCACTGCCCTGCAGAGTCTGAGAATTTCCCGTCCCAGGCCTTGAATCACCTTCTCTTCTCTGTCAGCCTGAGCGCCGCCCTTTCACTAGGGACCCACCTGGGCTGGCCACCAGCCCCTCCCAGCCTCTGACCTCAGCCCAGGAGAGTGGGCCCAGGTAGCATTCAGCATGGGCTGGGTGTGTGGGCCCCAAACCCTATTTCTTCCCTATAAGGTTTTTCTTTAATATCACTCATCATTATTTACTTCCAAAATAATGCTTGCCAGGGCTGGGCGAGGTGGCTCACACCTGTAATGCCAATACTTTGGAAGGTCAAGGCAGGAGGATGGCTTGAGCCCAGGGCTTTGAGACACCTTGCGCAACATAGTGAGGCTCCGTCTCTACGAAACACTTTAGCAGGCCAGGTGCTGTGGCTCACACCTGTAATCCCAGCATTTTGGAAGGCTGAGGCAGGTAGATCACGAGGTCAGGAGTTCAAGACAAGCCTGGCCAATATGGTGAAACCCTGTCTCTACTAAAAATACAAAAATTAGCTGGGCGTGGTGGTGCACACTTACAGTCCCAGCTACTCGGGAGGCTGAGCACTGCACTCCAGCCTAGGTAACAGAGCAAGACTCCATCTCAAAAAAAAAATTTTTTTTTTTTTTTTAACAATTAGCCAGCTGTGGTGGCACATGCCTGTAGTCCCAGCTACTCAGGAGGCTGAGGCGGGAGGATCACTTGAGCCCAGGAGATCAAGGCTGCTGTGAACCATGATCCTGCCACTGTACTTCAGCCTGGCTAAAAGAGTAAAACCGTATCTCAAAATAATAATTATTATTAATCCTTTTTTTTTTTTGAGATGGAGTCTTACTCTGTGCCAGACTGGAGTGATCTGGGCTCACTGCAAACTCTGCCTCCTGGGTTCAAGCGATTCTCCTGCCTCAGCCTCTCGAGTAGGTGGGATTATAGGCGCCCACCACCACGTCTGGCTAATTTTTGTATTTTTAGTAGAGACAAGGTTTCGCCATGTTGGCCAGGGTGGTCTTGAACTCCTGACCTCAAGTGATCCGTCTGCCTCAGCCTCCGAAAGTGCTGAGATTACAGGTGTGAAATAAGTATTGTTAAATTAAATTAAATAATACTTGCCAGTTGTGGAAAACATGAGAAGTATAGACGTAAAAAGGAAGAAGAATCACTACAATCCCATTACCCTTGACAGCCGTTGACAGAGCCTTGCTGTATCTTCTTTCAATACTTCCTTTTTTTATATGGAGCTATATAAAATTTAAATAAAAATTTTATTTAAAGAAATAAAATTGAGATCACGCTATATATGGAATTTCTGTAGCCTGCATTTTCTACTTAAGACCATTCCATTCACACAGCAGCTCTCAGGGGGTCTCTATCTTCGAGGCTGTGTACTAGGGGAGCAGCAGGGAGCCTAGCAGGAAGGGGGGTCCCCACCGCCCAGGGAAGGGCAGTTGGCGAAACAGGCACGTGTCCGGCACCATGCCCAAATACACCTGCAGCTTGGAAAGTGGAGTAAAGATCCAGGTAGCTAAGAGAACTGTGGGGTTCCTGCATCCGTGGGGGTGTGAAGTTTTGGAGGGTCTGAAGGCTGAAGGCTGAAGTTGGGTTGTCGGTGGAGGGGGGATTCCAGGCAGAGGTAGTAGCCTACACGGGGAGAGCCTGAGGCCAGAGGAAGTGCACAGCTAAATAACAGAAGAGTGATATGGTAACAGGCAAGGTGTTTAGAGACTGCAGAGGATCCCGCTGCCGGAACAGATGGTAATTTACTTATCTGTGGAACAGTTAGATTGTTTCTCATTGTTCACTGTTACAAATGATCATGGCAGAAATTGGTAACGGTTGCCTCCTAGGAGGGCTTTAGGGGAGCTCCAGGACTGGGGTGAGCGACACATCACTGTATCCCTGTAGAGAACTTTTTTTTTTCAGACAGAGTCTCACTCTTGTCGCCCAGACTGTAATGCAATATCGCGATCTCGGCCCACTGCAACCTCCACCTCCCCGGTTCAAGCCATTCTCCTGCCTCGGCCTCCCGAGTAGCTGAGACTACAGGAGCAAGCCACCACGCCCGGCTAATTTTTATATTTTTAGTAGAGACACGGTTTCACTATGTTGGCCAGGATGGTCTCAATCTCTTGATCTTGCCTCGACCTCCCAAAGTGCTGGGATTAGAGGCATGAGCCACTGCGCCCGGCTGGGAACTTTTTTTTTTTTTGAGACGGAGTCTCACTTTTGTTGCCTAGGCTGGAGCGCAATGTCGCAATCTCGGCTCACTGTAACCTCTGCCTCACCAGTTCAAT